TTATTATTATTTTATTTTTTATTTTTATTATTATTACTTTTATTTTATTTATTTGATTTTTATATATTTAATATAACTATTATTATCCTATAAATCATATTTTAATAATTATTAAAATATAAAATTATATTATTAAATTTTAAATTAAATTAGATTATTACTAAAGTGGTGTAGATTGATTTTAATAAGAAAGAGAAAAAATAAAAAATATTTATTAAAGTGTCTTTAACTTTAATAAGAGAAAAAAAATAAAAATATATTTATTAAGAAATAAATATTTTAGAAAAGTTGAAGGTATAAATGTCAGAAGATTAAAAATGAAATTTTTGGAGGTGTAGGATGAAATGTTGGAAGTGTAGATGAAACACTCCCGTTTATCAGTACGTTGGAGTTTATTATCTTGGATTGAATTTTGTAGTACTGTTATCTTCACGAGACTCAAGCCTCAATGTCGGAATTTTTTTTTTAATATAATCGGTTTCCGAAGACTCAATTAGCCCAAAACATAAAGAAACAAAAAGAGTATTGCGTTTGACCCGACCCATTTCTACTAAGCCCGCATGAGATTGATTGGATCTACGTTTGGCAAAGTGGGCTAACGACTACAGAAAAAAAAACCATTCTTTTTATCGAATTTCATTATTCTTTGAAATTTTATTTTACACCCCCTTCTTTGTTATTTTAATTGTACATAGCATCTTCATTCTTTATATCCTTTTTCGTCCATTTCATTAGCTATTTCTTCTATTTAAAAAGTAACATAACTTTAGAGCAGTCAAAACGAGTAATCAAGTTCGACCCAACTCCTCTAACCACGAGTTGGTCACTTAGTGAACCAACCCAACCCAGTTCACTTATTAGTGAGTTGAAAAATTTTTGAATCCGATCCGACCCATGACGGATTGGTGAGTTAAACAAGTTGACTCACTGACTCACTTAATTATAAAGTTTTTTTAAAAATAAAAGAATTATAATTTTTTTTAATTCTAAATAAATTTCACTCTAAAATGATATTAAACTTCGTAGACAATTCAAAATAAATAAAAAAGTATTATACAATCTAAGCATAATTAAAAAACAAGCATAAAAGGAGAACAAATAAGTTTTGAATATTGATAATTTTTGTATCACTTGTTAATTTATAATATTAGTTTCTTGAATAGATAAATCTATAAGATTTTTCTCTCTTGAAACATTTTTTTATCTCCATATGCTAACTAATAATATTGAAACATAAAATAATAAATAATTAAATTAAATTAGGTGGGTTGGTGAGTCAACTCGACTCATCGGGTGAACTGGGTTCTAAGTAAACCAGGTTAAAAGCTAACTCACATAAAAAAAATTATATTTTTTCAAACTCAACCTGACTCAAATCCATGATGAACCATGTGTTTCTCGAGTTACAAGACATCACTACGTAATTTATTATACGTATAATGTATGTTATTGTCATTTTAAGTCAATTCAGCAATTACTTTATCTTAAAGGTACATTAGTAAATGGGTTTCTTTGTTTGTTAATATTCTGTTTGAGTTCTTTTGATATTGATCTTACAAGATACATATACCTATTTCCAAAAATAATTTTGAGAACTTTGATATTTTTTTTTAATGTACGCAGTGTTTTTTTTCCTCATTTATTTATATTGTTTCGATAACTTCTGAGCTCTGATCTCTTTTGTGTGATAAGATTTTAGTTTACGGTTCTTTGATTCAGCCTTTTGTTTTTCATCACTATTAGTGGTTTGTCAACAATGATGAGTTATTTTTTTTCTTTTCAGAAAAAGATCATTATAAAGAGATTACACATGTTATTTGATTTTAATCTATATAAATGAATAATAACATTTTCAACATAAAATCTCATTTATTTTTTATACGGTCAATTTCGTAATTCTAAATTTGAACTAACACTTGTATTTCCAAGAAAAAAAGATCTTACAAAGTTCTTGATTATACAGCATCTTTACACTTTTTATGGTTTATTAGCATATCGTGTAATCATTTACAATCAACGTAATAGAAAAAACGATTTATTAGGTCAATACACTTTCACATCTTCAAAGTTGACATGTTAACTTTTTTTATTAGAAACTAAATTATATTGAATACAGTACTTATGTTTTGCCACAGTAGTAGGATTGATTAATTTTACATTAATTATACAAAAAAGTAAATTATCTTCTTCTTTTTTTAAATTGAACTCAGTTATTATATTAATTTTGGTTTTAAAAGTTGAAATTTTCCAATAAAATTATTAAACTAAACTATGCAATAACTCTCTATTGGAAAATATATTCTAAAACGAGACATCTATTTATAATAATTCAATCAATTTAATTAAATTAAATTGACGAGTTTAATTTAATTTATTAAAATTATACAATTAAATTCAATTCTTAAATTTTTTTATATCTATGGATTGAAATTCTTTAAACTGTGTTTACTTTAGTGAAAAAAATTGAGAGATTAGTGGATAGATTCGAAAGATTTTGAAAGTAACTGTGTCTTGTTTTTTTAATGAAATTTGAAGATGAGGGAGAATAAATTTGAAAATAAAAATTTATGAGATTTTGTGAGAAATTTAATTAATATAATAATTTAAAAAATGTTTTAATAGATAAAAATTGAAAATTATTAAATTACCATTAATAATATTTATGAATAATATAAAAAATATTATCATTTATTATTATTATTATTAATTATTATATCCCTTTTAACCATTAAATAATATACGACGAAACTAAGCAGGACCAGCAAGCTGCACCATTCTGTGAATTTCATCAAACACAGTACCTGCAAGCGTCAAAAATTGTGAAATCGATTTCATGTATAACATAATTGATTCCATGCATAACAAAATTATACACGATCATTAATAAAACTTAATTTTAAATAGGGATATTTTAGTAAAAATCTCTTTGTCAATTCCAAATCTATTAAAAAAAGACAAGACGAAAGGAGAGAATAATCCAACAATATACATCCTCGCAAATCGGTCAATGCAAACAATCACAGTCCGTACAAATCTGATCTTCCTAATATCCTTTAACAGGAAATTGATGCAAACAAAGACTATGTAATTACTTTCACCTAGTCTAACAAGCACTCAATTTAAGACGAAGGAATTGTCATTTAATTAGAGTTGTGGTTACTTTCACCTAGTCTAACAATCATCAATTTAAGACGAAAGAATTGTCATTTAACTAGAGTTATGATTACCCAGTCCGAGAGAAAGAGGATAAAACAAATTAAGACGTCGCATAACTATTTTGTCCACACTGTACTTTCTCGATCAATCAAAATTCAAATTCGAGCTATAAATTTGGCACCAGAGCAGTCAATATCGTACGTGGTAGCTGAATCTATACACAGCTGTTTCAAAATATACTTTAATAATTGCAAATTTTTCATTTTCGTCTCTTTTTCTTGGTATAAAAGGGCACAAAAAAAGTCCAACTAACAAAAACGGCATTAATAGACAAGAGGAGCGACATGACATGATTAGAGGCCGAGCATGAACAAATCCGATACTTCCTTTTAAGGTTTATTTGAATGACTATGGAAAGTAAAGGAGTTAAGAATCAAACCCATCATCACAGGCTTGTTCTTTAGTATATAAGCAAAAAGTCTTTCTAATATGTTATGTATAATAGGACAAAACTAATTATTTTACAAATATATTGTAAAATTTAACTATACGTAACATCAAAATTTAATCTTGGTTTGAAAGAAGTAATTTGATGAAAAAAAGTTGAATAGTAAAGGGGAGCTTGGTAATGAATGGCGTTGCTCCTCGGAGGGAGACCTGCCAGTTCATAACCATAATTGCGTGAGTCACGTTCTTGAACTAACAAAGCTGTATTAATTTCAATCATGTTTTGTTTTGGCTTTCTTCTATTTCTGCTATTTCTGCTAGCCGACTTAGTAGCCTTTCCCATCTTTTATGAGTCTTGAAAAGTTTGGTGGATGCATCGTCAACTTCACTTTTCACCAATCTCTAATTTCTACCCACGTACGTAACTTACCAGCACTTTCTATTCTCGATCACACTTACCTTCTTTCCCCAACAAAGATAAGAGAAAATAGCCACCATAACAGTCAATCAGATGCTGCTTAATTAAAGAAAAGACAAACCATTCTGCTGCAATATTGCATGCTCGCTATCACGTACAAATACGTATATAATCTTTTACTTCACTTATTCATCATTCTTTGTTGCTTCCACAAAATTACCACAAAAAGGATCATAATTAAGAGTAATTCCTAGATGTTCACTTTCTCCTTCTTATTTTCCTAACATCATTTGCTTATACATACAATTCCTCAATTTCTAAGTTCTGTTCAAAGTTGACTCTTCACTGATCACTGTCTCCTAACACAATATTTCACAAGGTTGCAATGTTGAAAACATATAACAGAAAGTATGCTTGTCCATATAGTCAGAAATCATGTTCTGTCAAAGTCTCCAGAATTCAGAATCTATAAATAAAGACCCTTTTGAAGTGCCAGTGGCAGCTGAGATTCTGAGTTTTCATTTTCACGTAAAGTCGTAAATAAATGTTTGATAAGATTAACGCAAATTTAACTTGGTTGAGTGCAAAAGCTAGCAATAAACAGTTGTTCATACCCACCATCCCTGAATAACCAAACATGGACCCCGTGAACGACTCCCACTGCCAACAGTGACAAAAGGCAGTGAGTAAAGCAAGGGAACCATCAATTTATTGCATGCACGCTACCAAACGCCAGAGTAATTGAAAACAACCATATCGGAAGAAAAGGAGGACCTGCCAACTGCGTATCCGAATGAAATTTTATGATTGGGAATGGTAGGTGTTACTAATCAATGGCAGGCGCCATTATTTTGGCGCACAATCACAACACAATCAATATGGTATCTTAAATGTAACATTCCTCGCACACAACCCGACAATCTTATTGCTAAATACATTTTGCTCATTCGTAACGAAACTTAATTGAATCTCGCCGACAACAACAAGCAAAACACTTCTAATCACATTTTTCAAGTCCTAATTACAAGCTTTCAATAATAGTCCAAGCAAATACAAACTTGAAATTCAACTGTGTATCCCTTACATGTTGCACCTATTCATGAATAAACACATACATAACCCCTGTTGGCTATGTCTATGCAAATTCACTAGAGGCCCTGTAATTGTTTGGAAAATAAACAGGAAAAAAAGGGGAAAACAAATATATATATATAAAAAGTGGGATATGATATGATATGATAAAATGACCAATATGACTGAGAAATGAGATCTGTGGTTCGGCTACAGCAGAGAAGGGTCATGAGTACTCATCCATTTCATACTGAAACCAAATTAATAACCGATTTCTTTTCTTTTTTTCCTTTCTTTTTCGTTCTTTGATTCGATTCTCCCCCTAGAGCTTAACGATCTCAGGGATGTGGACTGGATAACGATCAATGCAATCAGACCAAGGCCCATCAACAGGTGTCTTGATGTTTCTGTTGCACTTCCACACAGCACTGTTGCATTTAAACCCACTCCCGAACGCTATCTGCCACACCCTATCTCCTCTCTTCATCCTTCCCTTTGATTCAATGTAGTTCAGCTCGTACCAGAGAGAAGAAGAGGAAGTGTTTCCGAACCTGTGCAGGGTCATTCTAGAGGCCTCCACATGTTCAGTAGAAAGCTGAAGATTCTTCTGCAACTCATCGATCACAGCACGCCCACCGGCGTGGATGCAGAAGTGCTCAAACGCTTGTTTGAAGTCAGGAATATAAGGCTTCCATTTGGGGTTGAAGATTTTCCTCCCGATGAGAGTGAGAAGGAAGAGTAACTGCTCGGAAGCCGGAAGCACAAGAGGACCCATGGTGGTGATGTTAGACTTGAGAGCCTCACCTGCAATAGCCATGAGATCCTTCTGGAGTGAAATCCCCACCTTCCCTTCTTTGTCTTCCTCCTCAAACACACAACGGTAGGCCTTGTCGTCAGCACCTTTGTGTGTTCGAACAACGTGTACCAACCTGTACTTGGCTCTCCTACGTTCGGACCTACGGTTCGACAACAAAATAGCAGCACCCCCCATTCGGAACAAGCAATTTGGAAGAAGCATGGCTCGCTCGTTGCCCTGGTAGTAGTTGGGAGTTATGATCTCAGTGCTGACGACGACGGCGTTCGAATTGGGGTGGACTTGAAGAAGGTCACGTGCCAAGTCAATGGATATGAGGCCAGCACTGCAACCCATGCCGGAGAGGTTGAAGCTCTTGATGTTGCTCCTGAGCTTGAACTTGTTGATGACCATAGCAGACAAGGAAGGAGTGGGAGAAAAGAGGCTGCAATTAACGATGAGGATGTCTATGTCCTTGGGCTTGAGGCCAGTTCTGGCGAACAAAGATTCCATGGCGGAGAAAATAACAAGCTCGGCCTCACCTCGGGCAGCCTCCATGGTGGGTTTGGGAGGGATGTAGTGAATGGAGGGAGGGAGACAGGTCTCTTCGCCGAGACCAGAACGTTCTAGAATCCTCATTTGAAACTCGACACTCTTGGGGTTGTTCTTCAAGATGAGTCTGGAGTGTTCCATGAAGGTAGCAAAAGGAACACGGCATGTTACGGGAGGTTTGAAGCAAGCATAGTCAACGAGGTAGATGGTGCGAGGCTTTGACATGAAGTAGACGGTGGCTATGAAGATGATGAGGAAGGCCGAGCAGAGGATTTGGACGAGATCGAAGTGGAGGGAGTTCCAAAGGGAGAGGATCTCGTCGGGGCCCAAACGAAGAACCTCAACGGAGATGGCAATCATGATGGGAATGAGAGTGAGGGTGAGAATGTGGTTGACAAGATATTGGTAGCCAAGTTTGACATACTTGAGCTTGACAGAGTTGGAGAAATCCGGCAACACTGGAGGCATGTTGAATTAGTGAGGAAGAAAGAGAAGAAGAAGAAGAAGAAGGTATGATGATAATAAGAGAGGGTAGAGGGTGGTGAGGTTTTAAAGGCGAAGGGTCCCTGAGGTCTCAAAGGGGGCAGATGAGAGCAGTTAATGAAACACTTCACGTCACTCAACGCTCACTTAACTTGGTATTAATTTTCATAACTCCACCCTTCGACGTCTAACTAAACCCTAACACCCGTAAAAAAACTTTCTCTCATTTACTTCTCTTCCTTTTCATCATTATTTTCTCCTCTCAACGCCAAATTAATTAATTGCCTCTCCGTCCTCTTATCTTATTCTCTCTATCATCAATTTTAATCAAACACGAACCAGAACCAGAACTGCACCACACCTCTATCTCTCCATCCAACCAACCAACTCATCATCACCAAATATATCTAAGCCATCTGTCAGAACCTCCAACCTTTAATTAAACATCATTTAACTATACATTTTAATACGCTCTTGTGTAGATACAACCAACTTCCAAATGAGTTTACCCATAACACTTTCCTGCCTTTCGGGGAAATATTACATATTTGGATCCAAATTCTTTTTTTTTTTAAATATTTCTTTTTAATATATACACTAAAACCCCTCCTCAGTTATTATGTTTTATGCCAGATAGTACTTCCAATTTTCTAATTTTAACCTCACAATTTTATTCTTTCACCTGATTTCTTTTAACATCCAAACT